GAGGTCACGGGATCTGAGACCCTCAGCAAAGCTGTTGTTGGCTGCATGTTCTACCTCCTGAGCGCCTTCCCGTCCATCCATGACACCTCCAGTTATTTCGGGGGGTTGAGTCCAGGTGGGCTCTCTAACGGCGGGGACGGCCAGGATTACTGGGGTCATGTTTTTTGGGATCAGGTGAAGCTCCAGAAAGTTGATTGCAGCTCGTTTATTTGCTATGCTGTCCATATCACACAGTGTACCTCTTTTTTTCTGACAGGATGTTTGGATGTATCCAGGGATAGCGCTGTTCTACCCGAAGCTCGCCCGATCCGTGCTGGAGTACAGAGTTGGGACGATAGACGGTGCCAAAGACAACGCCCAGAAGCAAGGCTACAAGGTACATTAATTAGGCAATGCTAAGCCTGGTGGGGGCACAAGTAAAGCCTGGCGGCCCACCAGGCTTATAATATACTGGGGGAAACCCTGCTTAAAATCTAACCTAAAACGTACAAAATAAAATACAACCAATGAGACATTTTTATTATTTACTTAGCTAACATGGAGAACGATGGAGTGAGAAATGGGAAAGGAAGTGAGGGAGGAAGGAAGGAAGAGCAGTAGGGAAGGAAGAAGAAGTAGAGAAGGAAGGACAAGTTTTGGAAAAATGAAAATTAGAGGGTGAGGAAAGACACAATATTTAGACAACCAGGTTGGAATAAAGTCAGACTCATTTTCTTTTTCATGTTCAGACAAGTTCAGACAAGGAAAACGCTGAAATCAAAGCTTTTCCAGGCAAAGGAATCCTGCTGAATGCAGCTCAGGTTCCAAGTTTCAACAGCGAAAAACAACAACATTGTCTGAGTCTTCTAAAGCGCAGATGCTATCTTCCAGGGACTGAAGTTCCCATGGGAGAGTGCTGTGTCAGGGAGAGAGGTGTGTCCGGATGACATTTATGGGCAACAAGAGATTCACATCAACGGAGATGTCACGCTGGCCTTCCAGCACTATCTCTACCTCACTGAGGTAACGACCACTTACCCCTACTTCCCATCACGTGTTCTGCCTCTGAGAAGTTGACTGAGCTGCTTGTTGCAGGATCTGTCCGTGTTCACGGAGGGAAAGGGAAGAGAGGTGATTTTTGGGGTGGCTGATTACTGGGTTTCCAGGGTAAAGTGGAACCCTGACGACCAGAAATATCACCTGTTGGGTAAGAATAAAGAAGCTACCTGCTGCATTTAAGAGGTCCAAACTACAGAAGCCCTGGCGATTTTGTGTTTGAATTATTATTTGGCATAACATTGCTTTAAAAGAATCAGAACTCAGGTTCAGTCACATCATCCAATTACTTTAATGGTGAAGAATTTGTGAATGTGCACATCTACTTGAATGATAACCTAAATACATTGGACTAAAATCCAATGCAGAAACCTGTTCACTGCTACCCATCATGATTCATTTAAATTACAAGAATTTAAATTAATTACTTAATTAAGTAACTAAATGAAATTACTTTGAATTTTTCTGGCCCTTTGGATGCCTTTTTTTAAATTTTTGTAGAAGGTTTCGTAACTTGAAAAAATTGCAACTGAAAAACCCATTTTGCATGCATTAAAAGATTCAACTAAACATGTTATAGAAATATATGGTCATCACATTTTAATGTGCTTCGCATAAATTAATTGTTATATTTATAATACATTTAATGAATACTTGCAAAATTCTTCTCTTTTTTTGCATGTAGGTGTTATGCCACCAGATGAATATTACTACAACGTCAACAACTCGGTGTACACCAACACAGTGGCCAAACTCAGGTATTTGTGTTAGAGTTTAGACATTATAAGAGACGGCACCGCCTGCATTCATTGGCACCCTGGTAAAAGCCTGCAGAAAGCTTTGTCTCAAATCTGAACATTAAAAAATATACGTATAATAAATGGGGGGAAAAAAATAAGAAATATTAGTTGTATTCAAAATTCCCTCAGTGATTGACTTCCCTGTAAAAGCTTCAAAATGAAGTGTAGCTGAAACCTTTTTTGTCATTTAAGCTTTGTTTTGATCAGAACCGTTTTAGTAATCCATGATTTGCTGTTTCACTGGGTATAAATATGAAGTGACAAATGAGTCAACGGATCAAAACGGGACAGAAAAATCAGGCAAATGTGTGTTTGTCTTCATAACTGAAAATTTCTGACAAGAAAAGTTATTTCTACTGATTATGCTTCTGTAGCAAAATGGGGTTTCTTTTCACATGTTTACCAGGACAGTCAAAGAATATTGCTTTACGTTACAGATTAGGTCATGAATATTATTCGAAAAAGTAGTTTCTCCTCTCTTAGTCTGCAGTTTGCTGTCGAGTTGGCTGATTTTCTCCAACACTCAGCTCCAAAAGAGTGGCAGGAAGTGGCCGAGCGCATCGAAATACCTTTTGACCAAGAGTTGCAGTACCATCCTGAGTATGATGGCTACAGTAAAGGTTGAAGTTTGTGCCTCTCTCACACCAAACCAGGAAAAAAGAATCCAGAATTCAGAAAACATCCAAACCTTCTGCTGTTTGTCACACGCAGGTCAACCGGTGAAACAGGCGGACACAGTGATGCTGGGGTATCCCCTCGGCCTGCCAATGCCTCCGGAGGTTAGGAGGAATGACCTGGAAGCCTACGAGCCGGTCACAGACCCAAACGGACCGGCCATGACGTGGGTGAGTTAGGCTGTATACGTTCAGGACATTTTACAAACTCCTTTACAAATATGAACAGTGTTTTGGAAAGGTATTCATACCTTTTGAACTTTTTATTTTGGCACCTTCCAACCATAAACTTCAAGGTATTTTATTGGGATTAAACATGGTAGACCAACAGAAAAATGATTGATGTTTTTGTTACATCTCTTCAGATTTTTTAAATGTAAAAATCTGAAAGATGTAATGTCCATTTGTATTCAGCCCATAAATAAAATCATCTTCAACTAGTTACCTTCAAAAGTCCTTTTGCTAGTATTTAACTCTGTGTTAAAGAGACTCTCTTGTCAAAGATATAAGATAGTGAAAACAAAGGAACAGACAGGTCAGGGGGAAACAAGGGATGGAGGTGAATGTAGGATAATCCTGAAAAAACATGAGACTGTGGTGGAGGTTCTCCTTGAAGCATATCAATGATCCTAAACACACAACCAGAGCTGTAATGAAATGGGATATATACGAACATATTTGATGTTCTAGTTAAAGCTTTGACCTAAATTCAGCTGGGAAATTCTGTGTCTGGATGTGCAAAACCAATGATCACATATGCCCAAACAGTTATATTGGTTTGGGGTGTTGGTTATTATGTTTGTAAAAACTTTTAAAATTTGTATATCGTTTTCTTTCCACTTAGAAAATATGCGTTACTTTATCTTGGCATTCAATATAAAATGCTTTAAAGTTTGTGGTTGTAAATGTTGAAAAATACGTGCACAACGTAGCATTCTAAGTTTTGAACAAATGAATTTTCCTTTCCATCTGCAGGGTATGTTTGCAATAGGCTGGCTGGAGCTGGGCGAAGCTGAGAAAGCTCAACGCTTGCTTGAAAAGTGCTTCAAGAACATCCAGGGGCCATTTCAGGTACGCAGAGGGACTCACACGCCCCCGTTAAACCAACAGTGATTCAGTGAATTCTTCATCACTTCTCTTCACAGGTATGGAGTGAATCATCAGATGGCTCTGGAGCGGTAAATTTCCTCACAGGTATGGGAGGATTCCTGCAGGCTGTGCTGTTTGGGTACACGGGTTTCAGGTCAGTTATTTATCCCTCCAGTATGCTCAGAAGATCACATGTCTACTGACGGTGATTGAAAGGCTTCACTGTTTTTTAGAGTTCAGAAAGAATGCTTGGCCTTCGCCCCGCTGCTTCCGGATGAGATCTGTGAACTGTGTGTCCGAGGCATCAACTACCTGGGCAATCAGATGGACTGGCTGCTCAGGAAAGATGATGTCTGCGTCATACTCAGAGAACAGACTGGCAGAGCTGGAAACACTAATCCTCATAAGCTGCAAGTTGTCCTGAAGGCATCAGGAGCTAAAATCCCTCTAAAGCCAGGTACCACACAAGCATTGACATGCAGCTACAGTTTGTGTCTCATTAAACAATCATTGAAGTTAGAAACATAAAATGTCTTTGTCTTTGAATACTACACATTCTGTCATTTCAGGACAGCCAGTCACTTTTCCTCGAGAAGCAGGCTGTATATGTAAAATGGATCCCCCGACTTCCTGCTGGCCGCTTTGAAACACGAGCCTTGTCACTCCTCCTCATCATTTTATTCACAGACAAATATGCAGTTGTTATATCTGTGATATGTTTTATGTGTTGAAATTTTCAACAATAAACATAAAATTATTGGTAATATTATAAAGGAACAATAAAAGACCCTATTTTGGACCTTTTTTTTTCCTTTGTCACAAATGATCTTGCAAATGTCATGTTTAATTAAAAATAAACATGGAAACAGATTTTAATGTTGTTTCTTCAATTACACCTATGTTTAAAGATAGTTTTTTGTAATATTCATGAACAGAGATACACTGAGGATTAAAAAAATCCCAGCTGGGTAATTAAATATGGATTTCCACAGCAGTATTTCGCCAAAATAGATTTTTGAACGTGAACTGAAAAGAAAAAAACATGCCTCTTTTGTTTTGTATATTTATATTGATAACTCACAAGAGGCACAAGAATGAAGTGGATCAGCTGGTGGATTCAGCCTTATACTGTCATCGAGTGACAGAAGCACATAAGACAAAGAGAAGAAAGAACTGGAAAAAGTCTTTTGGATTGTTCACAAGGTTAATGTATTAGAGAAAACAACAACTTTATCACTGTGCCATAAACATGAGCAAAAGTGTCGTAAGAGGCACACGAAAAATTCTAACCAGTCATTGGTTGATTTAAATCTGTCTCGTAAACCGTAACCCCGCCCTAAGGTTCCGCAATGTTTATATTATATTCCTTCAGACCCCGCAGCTGCCACTCCCCGCATACTTCGCTGCTTGCTATTTGCAAGGTTAACTCCGCTCATCCTGGATGTCACGGTGTAAACATCGACCCACTCGAAAAAGATGTTCTGCTCTGTGATTGGTTGCCGTGCCGTGGTTTGAACAAGTTAAAAACGGTTTCAGCGGGTTATTGGGAGAATAGCTGTTGTTTTCCCTCACTTCTAGAGCCGAAATATTTACACGCAAAAATAGGGATTATTATTAGTTCGTTTTTGTTTAGTGCAGATATGCAATTGATTTAGGGGTTTGATTTTTTTTTTACTATAAATAACAGACCAACGGTCTTCAGTGACGTTTCAAAGAAATACGGATACTAAAGGTAAATCTTTATGCTTGTCGATTTTTGTAAACGTTACGTGCTAACATTTTAACGTTGGTGGTTTTTGGAGTAGGAAGACATTCAAACGTTAAAGCTAGCGTTACTTACACATTAAAGTCTGTATCTTTTCTCAGTTAAATTGCATGTGTTTGTAGTTTTAGCTATGATTTTCCTACAAATCTCCCCACCCCAAAGCTAGCATGCTGCACTTAGAAACCAGTAGTTGCTATTGTTAACTTTACCCACGTCATTTTTTTCTAAGTGTTTCAAATGTATTGATGCTATCTACGCGTTATTATAGGTGGAAGTGCAGAAAATTACAATTATTGTTGTCGCCGAACATACTCTGTGAATTGACGCCACAGCAGGTCCAGGTTATTTTTGTGCATAGTCGCTTCCGGAATTTTGCATAACTTGTTTGGACGTTTTAAAATATAAAGTTTAATAACTATAAACATAAATCTCTTATTTATAGACCATCGTGAAAAAATATTAAGTGAACATCAGTGTTTAGTTAAAATGTTTATTTTTGGACGTAAGGTACAATGCCACTTTTGCAACATTTAAGTTTCATGATCACTGTTGTCACTCATTTAGAGAGGTTTTGTCATTGTAGCATCTACAAAAGTGCAAATGTACATAGTATAGCGTAACAAAGCAGTATATAAAGTATAGCAATATTATTAGATATATGCTATTTAAATACAGTATCTAAGGCAGAACAGTAAGCAAAGGAACAAAATGGAGATGAAAAAATAGTTCAGCACTAATTGAAAGGTATTGTTTTACTTCAGGGTTTAAGGAGCTTGAACATTTTTATTTGTTAATGGAGAAAGGAATTTACAATATCTTTTTACTCTTCAGTCTGAAAGTATTTTTTCTCTTTTGCATTTTTTAGAGAAACACAGTTAAATCCAAGCATACTCTCACTTCACTTTAGATTTAGTTACTTTAATTCAACAAAGTTTGTTCCTGATTGAAATGTCATGTCTCCCAAAAGATAACGCTGTTGCAGTTTTTCTGTATAAAAATATACATATAAAAATTGTAGCATAGGTACTTATGGTTGCTGCAAAAACAGCATATTGCAATGTGAAAAGTGTTTTTGAAAGGTATTTCACAGCAACCATCAAATAACCCAAAACATAAATGAAAGTACCACATGACAATGCATTTTATTAAAAAGTAGAATTGCTGTGGAAATTGGCAATCATATGCTGTTTAAAATCTACTGTTAAAAAAAAAAACACAACACATTGGACATGTTGCAGTTTTGATGATAAACTCCAATTAATGTATGCCAAGACACACAACAGGACAAGTGATTTATTAGTTTGGGAATGAGATAAATTGTCCAAACACATGTAGTGAAAACAAAAAAAATGAAGCCGTTTTCTCAACATGCTGCAGCTCATCAGATGATCTAAATAATTTCTGGAAGTAAATTAAATTTAGCATTGAATAGAATCAACAATCCAGTTTTTAACTGAGATGTACAATAAACCAACTTTCAGTACTTGCAGCACACTGTTTGGTAAGACACTCGCCTGGATAGCTAGTATTTGATTATAGAGAATTTCCTTACATTCCAAGATTCTCACTTCTCAAAAAGTAACAAAGCTCTCACAGGCCTGTCACAATAACAAATTTTGCTGAGCGATTAATTGTCTCAAATTATTGCGGTAAACGATAATATTGTTTGAAGGCCATTTTAAACTGATGTAATGGTAATGACATAATAATGCAAGCATGTCCTACCAAACATAAATGCACTTTATTTTCAAAAGAACATTTAACACTAGAACAGGTAAACAAAATGAAATGGAGTCTCAGTCTCCGTTAACTAAAAATCCACAACATAACACAACATAAAAACCAAAGTGAAAATAAAAACTACATTCAACCAAACGAGTGCAGATTATGAAGCCTGTATACTATATTGCCCTTCAATAATCATTAGATTTACGTAGAGAAGATGGGCATATCTGACTACCTGATCCAATAGTTCACTCCTCCTTTATGCTAAGGAAATGGGGAAGAGATGGGTCAGTGGAGTTGAGCTGTTTTTCATCCAGTATCATCATTGGAAAGAGAAAAAGGCATGAAGAAATGCCGATTAAATTAAAATGAGGCCGAGCATTTTCATTCATCATGTGATTAATTGATTTATTGTTTATTGCGGCAGGCCTAAGCTTACATTCTGTGAAAGCGTATGTAATCCGGTCACTTGATCTTCTCCCTTTAGCTGCCGCCATGAACTCCGTGCTGCCGTCGGTGCGCTCCCTCACGGAGATGTTTGTGGGAAAGACGCAGGAATTCGTCAGTGAGATCGAAAATGTCCACATGGTTTGGCTGGAAGAGATACAACAGGAAGCAAATCGCATGTTCTCTAGGTAGGCTTGCCTTAATGCAGTGAAGGTCTGCTAAATGGATTCTTACCAGACTTTTTTTTTTTTTTTTTGATGCATCTCTCTCTGTTATTCGTTTTCAGAGACTTTAATGCTGAACCAGAACTGATGCCGAAAACGCCTTCACAGAAAAAGAACAGCCGCAGGAGGCGGGTGTCTGCAGGGCGCCAAGAGGAAGGTCAAGCAAGGAGGTTTGTTTGATCATTTCCTTTTAGGAAGGGGAATGACCTGAAATCATGTTGTGCCTGTGTCAACCTTTTGTGTCTGTGATGCAGGTTCTCAAAGGGAAAGCGTAGCAATCTTCGAGGATCATCTGTTAAACCCTTGAACTTGATTCTCGAAGAAGAAGCGATCTCTGAGGTCTCAACCTCCAAGGCTAGTAACCCTCCAAAACCAAAACGTGCAACTCGTAAAAACAAACAGACGAAGCCTGAAGATGCAGACGAGAGCTTGTCAGAGAGTGACGGCAGCAAGCAGGAAGAGGTGCAGAACAAGAAGCCAGAGCTGGTTAAGGAAGAGGACGAAGTGGACAAAGTTCAGAAAGTAAATGATGCAGAAATCAAATCTGACGACGGAAGCGGCACTTCTCAGTCTCCTCCTCAGAGTCTTTTACCAGAGCTGGTCGTCAACATCTCAGCAGAGGACCGCTTGTCTGCTGAACTTGCCAGTAAGCTAGAGGCGTCTCCGGGTCGCACGGCTACAAAGATAGCAATAGCTGCAGCTGATCGGCGGTCAAAGCGGAGCTCTGCACGCTGCACCCTCAAACTGCGCCACTCACTGGCTGGTCTTCGGCACAGTATGACACAAGAATCTGTTCGCCGGGCTTCACGCCGCTCTATGCTCAAGAGGAAGTCTACTCGAATGGGCACCTCTACAAGCAGCAGCAGCAACACTGGTGGTGAGTTATTTCATCTCCCAAATGCAGACATCGTCTTCCTCACTTTGATTAAACTTCTTTCTCATCTTGGATTTTTTTTTTTTTTGTGTGTGTGTGTGTGTGTAGGAGCAAACTCCTCCATGGACACTGCAGAGGAGGATAATGAGGAAGAGTGAGTAAAACCACTTTCTTTGTATTTAATATCAATTTTTCTTTTGGGGAAATTTACGTTCTTTTGTGCATTTACAGTTGTAGGAACGGAAATGGCTTTAAGGTTTAAAAAAAAATGGGGGTTCACAGTTCTGTTTTAAAATCTGAGCTGATGTTTCTCAGAAATTGCATTAATCACAAAAATGTGCACAAATTGACTTTACTGAAAAATTACATTTTGACTGAGCTTTGTTTGTTGGGATGCTAGATACGTGACTGCTAATGAAAGCTGCTTTATATTTTCATGTGCATATTGCATGTTGTGTTTATAAACTGCAAATGGTGGAAAGTCCTAGTACTAATTAATTCAACACATTTGATTTGGAGCATATAAGTTTATTCACACCATATTTACCTCATGAATAGTTAAAATGTTACATTTTCTATGCTTTGTAAAGATTCCTGAAGTACCACCAGTGGTTCAATAGAACCATGGCTTTACTTGTCTTTTTATAATCTACCCTCTTCCACCAGATGCTGGAATTGAATTCATGAATCTTATTTACTATTTTATTCCCTTTCACAGCAAAACAGAAGCAGAAACTGAAGACGCCGTTGATGACTTGCCGGAAAAAGCAAGTGAAGCATCAGAGGTAGCTTTTCTTTGTTTATTGTGTTTAACTTAATCCTTTGAGGTGTCTTCTATGTAATTTCTTTCTCTCTTTCCATCAAACAAGTCTGAAAGGAGTCGCGACGTCCCTGTGCCTGCTGTTGAGCGCGTGACTCGCTCTGTAGCTGCCAATTCTCCCAAACTGGCTCCCCCTCCGCTGTTTTGCTCTCTGGTTAAAATGAGCACTCCTGCCAAAAAGTCAGGTATGACATCCTGTCATATTTTTGTTTTTAATCTGTTGATTATGATTTTCACTGCAATCCCCACCCCACACAAATTCTTAAAATATTTTTGTCTCCTTTCTAGTGCAAGTATCTTCAAATTGAATAAGACAAAACTAACTTACAAAAAACTTTAAATAATCTGCTTCTGTGACTAGTGCTTTTGTCACTCAGTAAAGAATTGTTGACTTAAAACAATCTCCTATATCTTGTTGAAAAGTCACTTGTGCATTATTTGTACCTTGGGTGTAATGAGATAGTTGCACTAGAAACTAGACCAAAAATACTTAAGGATTAGGATTTTGTGTTTTTGAGGCAAAAACACGCAGCTTTTTGGATGGTATTAAATTGATTGCAATTTTTTTTTTTTTCTTTCAGTGACTGCTGCTGGGAAACAAAGCCAGGCAACTCGAAGGTGTGAGTGTGTTCAGTTTTAGTGTGATGTGGCGTTTTAACACTTGGACTTGGGTATTGTCCCAAATGGCAAAGAAATAAGAGTAGTGTCATGTTAGCAATACTTAAGACATGTCAGTGCTGTATATAACATGTTATGCATATATTTGCAAATTGACTTAGCATTTTTGTTTTCCTTCCTTTAGCTCGAGGCTCAGCTCAAAACGAAAGGCCCCAGATACTGAGGACAGCCCCTCGAAGCGCTTCTCTCCACCAAAGAAAAGCCAAAGTGTATGACGCAACAATCTTATTGGTGTGGTTTTTAAACTGTTAAGTGGGTTTATAATTGAAGTAATGCATGGAACATTGTCTTCTCTCCAATATATAGACCATCAAGCCGAACATGAGATCTTTTCTTCACACCGTGAATAAGAATCAGATGCTGATGATGACCCCTAGCTCCATTGGCCGAACCGCCGTGATAAAATCCTTCATCAAGCAGACCACTCCTCTGAAAGTTGATCCTAAAGTAAGTTTCCGTCTCACTGACGGTGCCAGATTAACACACCGACTGTTGCTACTGAAATGTTTCGCCACTGTTGTGATTTCTGGTTGTATAAAGAACCGGTAAAACTTTACATGTCCTCCAAGGCTAATTCACTTATTACATTACAGCAACAGGGTAATTCAAATAACTTTACATGACAAAAACTGCAAACATTGTTATAAAGGAAAGGAATACGGGTTTGCAAAACAGACTAAAATTAACGATCCATTTATCAACCAAAGGTAACTGTTAGCAAGTGGATATTAGCCTCATTTTAAAAAAACTTTTCTGTTTTCTGGAATTTTTTTTTTCCCCGGATTTGTGATGTATAGTAAGCTGAATGCTGATTCTTCACGTTTGGTTCTGATTGTGTGGATCCACAGCAGGCCAGAACCGGAAGACCTGAGTGGTCTGTAAGGCTGATACAATAACAGATCTTTGTTATATTTTCATGCTGATCCTTTCAGTGATTTCTAAACCAGCTAAAGTATTTGAAAGTCTGTCCTCTGAGATACATGAAGCCAGTGTAAGGACTTCAGAACCGGGCTGATGTTCTGTCTTATTCGTTTTAGTGAGAACGCAAACAGCAGTGTTCTGATTGACATTTGGGCAGTCCTGTTAAAAGTCTTTTACTAATAAGTTTGACTTGCCCTTTAACTTGGCCTCTGAGGTGATATCCCATCTCGTCCAGTCAGAAGAAATCAAACAGATTCTTCACCATGAGTTAATTGCATCTCATCACTGAAGTTGGAGTCTGTGTGTTTCCTAAACAAGGGAACAGCAACCTTGAAATCCTACTAACATTTGTGCCAGTTTGCTTTAGCTGCAAAATTTTGGCTTAAATGTTTTTGTTTCTTCCTCAGATAAACATGGGGATTGTGGTAAGTGTCATGCTAAAGCACTGTCTGTAGGAATCTGGTGGTGTCTTAACAACCGTAGTGTGAAGGATCAAACTTCACTTGCACAAAAAAAAATCCTTTCCCACTGTTGCCTTCTAAAAAATGCTTGCAAATGTCATTTCTGGGGAACACTTGATAAAAATGAAGAAACTAATTTATTCCTTGTGCTGAAAATGAAAGTAGACTCCAAACAGTGAAATGGAAATGCTGTTTAAGTGTGGAAGGAGCTGAAAATAGATGTTTGTTTTTTTTTCATTAGGTTGATTTATAAAAAAGAAAAAAAAAAGTAATATTTCACTATTACCAAACATTAGCTGTATTTTGTCACACAGATCAGTTCACTGTGGGTGTCTTTGGGGCGTGTGTGTGTGTTTTGAATTTGTTATTATAGTTTTATTCTAATTTTTAAAACAGCTTTAGTGACTGTTGTGTACCAGCAGGTGGCGACGAAGTCGACGGGAACAATAAAATCCTGTTTACCATTCCTCTTAGTTGCTCTGAAGTTTTGGGCGTCCAAAATGTAACACATGTTTCTAACTCACTGTGTTTTTTTTTTGTTTTTTTTTTTTTTTTTGTTTGTTTCTCTCTTTTCCTCCTCACAGTCATCTTAATGTTTATCGATAAAATCATTAACTCTTTAAAACTTGCATCTAATTGTAACTCTTTGCCTTTATATTTCTCATAGTCAGTTTTCTATATATATATCTTTTTCCTTCTTTCAGACCAAAGAACGTTACAAGCTGGAGGCTCTTAGAAAGAAGCAGGAACAAGAGGAAGAAAGAATGAGAAAAATGGAGGAAGAAAAGAAGAGAAAGCAGGAAGAGCTGAAGAGGTTTACCATACTGGGGGGGAAAAAGTTACTTTTTTTGCAAGCTGTTTTTATTTAAATCTGACTCTGAAAATCTGTTTTCAACAGGAAAAGGGAAGAGAGGATAAAAAGAGTGTTTGAGGCAAAAGTAAAGGAAGAGCTGAGGGAGGAAGAGAAGAAAAAGAAGATTGAACAAAAGATGGCTCAAATTGATGAAAAGAATGATAAAGTATGCAAAAGGTTTGGTGGCTCTTCATTTGCTCATAGATTCGTTAATACTCATTTTATTTGTCTACACAGCGTCAGGCTGAGGAGAAAGCTAAAAAGAAACTGGCAGCAAAGCGTCAAGAAGAGCTGGAGCAAAAGAAAAAGCTAGAAGAAGAAGCTCGAAAGAAAAAGATTCAGCAGGTGAAAAGTTTTTTTTTGTTTGTTTTATCCCTGTAATTTGCTAATTTACTCCTGTAAATATAGCCTTTTTTGTTTTTCTTTAATCACCCGACTGAAATGTTTATAAGCTTACTGTATACAAAATGTTTAAAAACCGTTTATTTTTGGCAAACATGCACACAATAGTCAAATAAAATGGACAATTTAATCCACATGACAAAATTTGAATATTATTCACCTTCAACATTTTTGGAGGATGCAAAAATGATAAATGTCACCTGCACTTGAAACTCAGGAGGAGGAGGAGAAACGACAGCAGGAGCTGGCAGCCAAAAAGAAAGCGGAGGAGGAGGAACAGCAAGCTCGCAAAGCTCTGGAGCGCCAGAGGGAGCAAGAACTGGAGCGGGAACGGCAGGCAGCTGCTGCAGCTGCTGCTGCTGCTGCAGCTGAAAGGGCTGTTGGGAATGAGTGACTGCAATTATTGGTATTGGTTCAGGAAAAAAAATACTAAAGTATGTAATTGGTAAAATAGAAGATATGAAATTTCAATTTCACTCCGGGATAGGCCTGTCACAATAACAAATTTTGCTGCATGATGATTAGAGGCCATTTTAAAGTGATGCATTCATGTTGTCGACATAATGCAGGTTTACCTTCTCAGAACCAATAAACTTTAATTTTGTAAAGAACTCTTAGTGGAACTGGAAGATATTCTAAATGTCCTGCAAACAAAATTGCTCGTTTTTAAAATGCATGTATAATTAAGAGTAAAGTTGGCCCATGTAATACAGCAGTTAAGATGAAGTGACATTTTTAATAATATTCACGTTTAATTTAAGTTCAAATTAACTTCCTGATTTTTTTTCTCCTTCTTTTTTTAATGGCAAATGGGTCAACTTGCACATATAGCGATACCAGGTTGTAATAATTGCTTTTTTTATGTGTGTTTGCAGAGAACGGGTAGAAAAAGAAAAGGCTCTTGCTTTACAGCGTGAGGTAGAGAGAGCAGCCAGAGAAAAAGAAAAGAGAGAGCTGGAGGAGCGAAGGAAAGCATTGGAAGACAAGAGGAAACTGGTAGGAAATGTTTTTGTCTGCGCCGTTATGCTTTCAGGCCCAATCAAAAAATGATTTTATTGTGAAGCCTGGACTATCGGCATTCAAATTTCTACACTAGGAAAAATGCTTTCTTTTTTGTGCACTGGAAATATTTGACACTTCTGACAATTATTTCAGGAGGAGCAGCAGAGGCTGGCTGCAAAAGAGAAAGCTCTAAAAGAGAGGGAAGAAGCGAAACGGAGAGAAGCTGCTGCTGCTGAGGCACAAGTAAGCTGACGGGCAAAAATCTGGTGGAAAATCCTGCTAAATTATGGTTTTGTGATGCAAAAGCATTAAATTGAGATGGTTTTTTGCATTTACGTATTTCGTCATTTTCTGATCTTACAAACTCAAAATTTTTCTCTCTCCTCTCAATTGTATTAAAGAAGTTGCTGAATAAAACAGTTGACCTTGAGGTAAGCATCACTCAGATTTAGAGCTTGCATTCACTCATTCATTGATTGCAAGCTAAGAATAAAACATGACTATGTTTTTTGTTTATCTTTTAACCCAGTTTATGCTGTCAGTTTTCATCCAACTTCCATGTAATGTTTTTTTTTTCCTGACCTACTGTTGTCTTTATTTATCTTTTTTCTTACTTTCTCCCAGCACTCTGCAATGAAAACGCCTATCAGAAAGGGTGGTCTAAATGTTACTGTGGACATTCAGGTATTTCTTTAAACATTTTTGACACACGTTTTCTAAAAGCCTAACTTCTACTTTTCGTCATCAAGCCTCATTGTGTGCTTTCTGCTTTCTCCCTGCAGGAAATGTCACCTCAGTCGTACACCATCACTCCTAACGGCGGAAATAAGAAGCTGACTATTTCAAAGAATCCACAGAATTACGGAATGGACCAGAACAGCGACGATTCAACAGACGATGAGTCTGCCCCGAGAAAACCCATTCCCGCCTGGGCCGGAGGTGTGTACAACCAGTTTGGGTATTTACACTGCAGGGTAAAAAATTTCAAAGCAAGAACCCCATTTTTGTCTGGGGTTTCGGTTGATTTTTGCAACCCCACCAGTGTCGGGGTTTCGAAATGTTATTGTGGTGCTTCTGTACATGGTTATATGCCATTTCAAAACTGACTTTTTTTTTTTTTTTTTTTTTTTT